CACCTCCTACTACTACTACTAGTAGGCCTAGTAGTAGAAGTAGTGCTTTCGTGCCTACTACGCCTCATACGATTAAGCAGCTTAGCAAGCAAGCATCATCTATCAAAGCTCTACTACGCAAGCGCTCACGCTCGCCAGGAAGCCCTACAGAAAGAGCGCTAGATCAATTGATTAAGGGGTGCCAATTAGCGATGCATAACGGAGCGCTTCTAGCACAGGAAGCTAGGGATTTACGCCAATTTAACGAGAAGAAGCGTCAAAAACGCACACGGTCTAATCGTCAGATATCTAGGCAGCAAGATCCTACGGTCGGCGAATCTATATCTCTAGATTCAACGTTGCCAGCAAGCGTTGAAGCTATTCAAAACGATAATGCAGAGCTTCCTCAGCAGCCTACCGAGGTCGCTAGGCCTACTACTAAGCGTGTATTTCAATGCTCTGGCTGTGGGAATATAGGGCATAAGATTACCCAGTGCCCTAGCAAATAGTTGAATTAAATATATGGCGTTATGGTGGAAAAATAATGTTTTCAAAAAGTAGTGGTTGGTAGGGTGGGCGGAATGTTGGTGTGGGCGGAAAGATAGTGAAATACGTTAGTTAACAATGCCCGCAGCAAAAAAAAGACAGCGTTCTCGCTGCCGGAAGAATCTAAGTGCGCACTAAGAAACGTGCGTAAGAAATATGAATTATATAAGAAGTGTGACAGTGTCAGGAGATGTAAAAGTGATGTTATTGGTTCTGTCTAAGCCTAGCTAAGAAGGTGCTGAGGGTCACCTGACCCAGCTTAAAGGGTAACAATAAATTTCGTGAGAAATATGAATATATAATAAGTATTCGCCTAACGGAACTCCGGCCCTAATTTATTATCCTCTTTATCTTCTTTATTATCGACTTCCTTATCCCCGAATAAGACTATAACTAAAGCAGCGTCGAAGTTATAGGGATTTATACGTATAAACTCGTAGATATCTCTGATAGTAGGGTAACGGAAGGAGCGGTTAACGGCGAGGAGCGGATACTATAGGTTAATAAGAACGTAGTTCGCTAGCGCTATACCGCGCTAATTCTTCGAAGCTCGCAGATCGATTACGTATACGTATACGATAGATACGTTAGTAAAGTTTTTGACTATATCCGCGAGAGCTTTATCGGTTTCTATTAGTTTCTATTAGAGAATAACTACTTGTATAGGGTAGAAAGTAGACATCTGTCATATGATATTGCAACATGAGGCTATTCCCAGCTCAATGCCTCAGGTGTTAGCTCGACACCTTATCGGTCAGGCTTCGTTATGACAGCCCCACTTCTCCCCAACATGGATGCATGACCTACAAGGCCCTGAGGGTTCGGTGCCCTTCCATTAGGGATTCGTGAACCCCTCTTTCCTGTAGCCTTTGCTTACCTCTGTTACATATAGGACACGTCAGACCGCATGTTGTAATGTGATCTATCGCCTTTGCTTTGGTCATGTGGGAAAGTGTTGAAGCCTGTACATAAATTAAGGATTATGGAGAGATCCATGATAGCAAGACACAGTGTTTTGCCTTCCTTACTTGACGTCTATCTTCCTACCTAGTCGACAGGCTTTCTACCCTGACAATTAGTTATTCTCTAACAGTCGGCTTGCGATAATAGCTTCTATTACCTTCCCTAGGGTGTTCAGCAGTGCGAGTGGTCTGTATGCCCTTGGTTGCGTATAATCCTCCTTCCCTAGTTTCCGGAGCACTACCGTGATCGTGTCCTTGAAGTGCATAGGAAAGTAGCTGGGTTGAAGATATATATTGAAGAGTGTATGCAGGCTCGGTAGGAGGATATTAAGCGTCCGGTGCAAGATACCGTTCGTGATACCGTCCGTGCCGGGAGCCTTGTTTGGAGACGCCCTGCGTACTGCCTTCTTAATCTCCGGAATAGTACTATCCGGACACTCAATTAGTGGCGCGTACGCGTATCCCTCGATATCCGAAAGATCAGCCTAGAGCGGAGGCGGAAAGAAGGTTTAGCGTAGTGTTTCAGCCTTTTCTTCTAGCTCCTAGGCGAGGCCTCTATCCTGTTTCACTAGTGCTAGCGTGTAGGCCGCCGATATGTTGTGTCGGTTTTTGGCCTATTTAACTAGGTTCTAGAGACTAGATGGTGATGCCGATGCCTCCTCTAGTCTTTAGCGATGATTATTTCGAAGGGTCTTCTAGACGAGCCGACCCTTTCTATTATAAGCTTAACGGTATATCTTATAGAATTTATCTAGTCTGGTACGTTGCTATTGTCGACGGAGTTACTGTGCTTCTATATAGAGCTGCTTACACTCTTAGTTGAACCTAGGGGTTAAGCGAGAGGATAGGTTAGACCACGGAGTAGATACCTCGATACTAGTATTTAGCGCCTAAACGAGTGTCGAGATAAACCTGCTAATACCCTCTGTACTATTGAGCTCCGTGATACCGTTCGTTCTAGCGAGGTGCTTCTGCGTTACTTATCGTAGGGTTGATATGTTCGTCTTGGACTAAAGACGTTTTCTCTTCAGCTCTGCGAGTTCCCTGTCCTATTTAATAGCTAGCCTAATCGGGAGGTAGTTAGAGTTATAGTCGAGGTCTTTATCTACCCTGCAAAGGATTACCCCGGCTGCCACGTCTTCGGAAGCAAACGTTAGGTTAATTATAGATTCTCCTTCCTTCTATCGGTGGGTTAGAGTCCCGGGTATAGTGAGAAGTTGCAGCTGGGTGTCCTTAATAATTCTAAGTAAGCTTTCGGCGCTAGGTCTACTGCGAGTGCGATAGTAGTCTGCTAACTAGAGCGGATAGTGTAGGTTGAAGTCGCCTAGAATAACAATCCTGTCTAAGCTAAGCGTGTCAATCGCTTCGGCTAGTGTCGGGAGCGTGTTAGTAGTCACTTCGTTGTAGACGTTAAAGATGTGGATGTCTTGGTTGGAGTAGGAGTCGGAGATTTTGAGGGAGATAATATCCTTGGAGGTAAAGGAGACGCTCTAAGTGCTCGGGTCGACCCGTTTATTGACATAAAGGCAGACCCTTGTCCCCGCGTCGGGGGGTTATATCAGCTGGAAATGTGCTTTAAGAGGGCGGTAGGATGTAGCGATGAATGGATTGCGCCAGGGTTCCTAGATCGCTAGGACGTTATATTCTAGGACCCTAGGGTTCTGAAATAGGCTGGCTATAAGGACATCTCTCGACTTTTGGACGTTGTACTGTAAGATTCGCAGCTCTTAGTGTCTTAGCATTGGAGAGAAGCTGAGTTATCGCGGGCTAGATGCGATTGGGCGCGTTACATTAAGTGCCGATGTGGCTATAGTTGTAGCAACGAAAGTATTGCTTCACTCTGTATACGCGGTCGTAGAGTTGGTATTGATGTATCTGGCCCTCCCACGCTATTCCGGCATAGATCATAGCATTAGCTATCTCTGGGTCTGTGAACTCAACAACGATCGAGGACGCGCGTTTGAGAGTGGCTTCCTTGGTCAGCTACCCTATGTGGGAGATATCTGCCTTTAGTATGACCGTATAATTGTCTGCGAGGATCCGTTGGATAGTTGCTTCCTAGTCCTTGATATTGATAGAATTGGTGGGTATGCTATAGACAATGACTCCGTATATTGGCACGACGAGCTCTGCGTGTTCTCTAAGGCCTTTGATCTAGCCCCTGTTCTGTTTGAGCTGCGTGGTCTCGGCAGTTGTGCTTGTGAATATTTGGATATTACCGCTTTTGAGCTAGTGTGCTGCAATAACTTTGACCTATCTGGTGGCCACATTGTCACGTATCGAGGACTCTACTCTTTGTCGGATCTAGATAGCCGGTTGTGTCCGGTATCGCTAGGCGATGCCGTAGTCTTTGAGCTTGACTATAACGCCTCGGTCTTTGTATATAGTGACCGTGGACTAGGCCTTGGTGGCCGGTGTTCCTTGTAGTACTGGAGGGGGAGGAGCTAGCGCGCCTTTAGCCTGAGCCGCAATCTGCGCCTAGGTCGCAGGGGCAGCTCGTCCACCGCTGAAATTAGCTGCATTGATCGGAGTAGTGCTTAGTCCGACCGAGTTCTTGATAATCGTAATGTCTTTCTGGATGTTCTATGTGCACTTGGCCGCTTCCTAGACGTGCTGGAGGATATCGCCGATCGCGGGCTGTCTCAGGACCTTGCCGATGAGTGCAACGGTCGAGGCCACGTACTGCTGGACTATGTTCCATGGCACCTGGTTCTGCCGTCCTCTATCTAGCGCTTGCAGTTGATTGCATGCTTCTTCAAGATATGTGGCGTGCTCGTTGATGTTTCTGGGCCGTTGTTTACCTGTGGCCACCTAGGCGCCATTACGACAATTAGGACGCATTTTTACGCGTCAATTGAAGTAAATGCCTACGCGGATACAGGTAGACTGTATAAATTGCAAATATGACGCATTTTCAAAAATTTGTTCTGGGCTGTGGGTGGTGTTTTTTCCCTGTAGGCACATTTCTTACAGAAACTTTCGGAACATCACGTCACAAAACTAGGTGGAGCGATTCCGTTGCACCAATGAAGATCCTGCGCATATAGCGTACGAGCCCACTCGGAAGTCACGGCGCGGTTCACAAACCAAACTCAACTAGGATATTGCATTTGCCGAGGGGCGTTATTTTAAAATTGCTCGGTTCGGAGGCCAAGGTACCGACATAGACGTGGGCATGACGGAGAGCGAATAATCTGGCCCACGTGATTGTTTAATTTTCTGGATTGTTCATCCCTACCTATGCATTGGTCACTTTTGTGCATTAACTTTTCTATCTAGCCGACATTAATCTCTTTAACGATGGAAAGCTTCGAAAACAGCCACTCCGCGCTGCTCTTTTGTGCACGGGTGACTGCATTGACCATGCTCTTCACACAGCCTTTCCTATTGTGAGCAATTATGTCCAGTTTAGTCAACAATTTAGTTAAGTATAGTGAGTTAGTTATAAAAAGCAAAGCATATCGAAATCAATATGCCCTTCCTTTCCTGCGTGTTGGAATTGTTTTGTCAAACATGCACGCGTCTTGGGCATTTCTACTCGAGCTTTTGATCTCGGCCAATGTGGCAACTGGATCTCCAGTCCGCCATGATCAAGAAGCCGCGACTGTTCCAACCATAGGGGGCAACCATTCTGCCACTACAACGCCCTTCTGGAAGCAATACAATTATTGTCAGGGTGAGTGGGTGCCCTGAAGTTCATTCTCGAGTGCTTGGTGTTTTCTCTGCTAACATTGACAAATCGACTGATAGGCCGTAACATTGGTGCGACCTGGAGCCCACTCAAAAATGCGCATATGGTCAAATTACAAGTCATGTACGTGCTATAGATCTGTCCCGTATAGGTTCTTTCTGCTAATGTCAACCAATAGGCATCGTCATGGAGGCCGATCCCCTGGGTCGACGCCCATCCCAGGCGACACAACAAAATGGTACCAGTGCGGAAATCCGGACGAGTTTGCTTTCATGAATATGGGCGATACGATCTCAGATAACAGATCGCCATTCATGAAAGAGATGGCCAGTATCGATGGTGCTTTTGCCTATACCATGTGGGAAGGAGACTGCGATTTGGGTAAGTTTATATCGTGAGAGCCTCGATGATAATGTAAAGCAACTCTGAGATGGCTGACAGCCTATAGGAGAATTGACAACATTCGGCTCTCATCAACTGCAGAGGCTCGGAGTCACGCTTCGCTCGACCTATGTTGATGACCTCGGCTTTCTGCCAAAGAAGATGGACCCGGGCTTTAAGATCAGTCACACCTACATTTGGTAAGTTACAATGGCTGTGAAATCATGCCTACTCACATAGTTAACATCTCCAACACTAGGCGTACACGAGAATCGGTCGAAAATTTGATGAACGGCTTCTACCCTCTTGATACCAGGGCCCCAGGCGACACATTGACTATGCATGTCAAACCAAGCGCAATCGAGACAATGGTCTACCCCTCGAGCGCTTGCCCCAAGCTTGCTAAGTTGATATCTGCATACTCTACCTCTTCAGCCTATGAAGAAACTCTCGCCCCATACACAGCTCTTCAAAACAAGCTTGTGAATGCTTATAACACCACGGGTCTGGCTAGCTATAACACCACACAAGTCTTGTACGATCCAGCATCGGCCGCCTATTGCCATGGCCTTGGATTGAAGGGAAATCTTACTCCGGAGGATATCCAAACGGCAGTGATCCCAGGCACAAGCTTGTATCACAATCTCTATCGTCATAACCCGTCTGCTGAACTGGCAAAGCGTTTGAGTGTCGGTGCCTGGTTGGCGGATATTTTGACCTCTCTGTCCGATCGCAGCACTAAATTGGAAGTCTATTCAGCCCATGATGCCAGCTTGGACATGTTTCTGTCGGTTGTGGCGGATCCGGACCTGCCATGGCCACCGTTCGGATCGAATGTCATAATCGAGTTGTGGCAAAAGACCAACGGAAACCAGGTGGTGAGAATGTTTTACGAGGGAATGGTTGTGCCAGCGCATCCTGACTTGGATTGCGACTTCTCAGCATGTCCGCTGGATACACTGACAACGTTTTTCAAGAAATACATCCCCACCGACTTCAAGGCTGAATGCACTGTCTAGTTGCTAGCCATTGGCAAGTCTTGGCATTTCTACTCAAATTGATATATTTACTAAGCCTGATATGCGACATCAAAGATCTTCGGTGAAGTTGCAGCTCAAACTCGGATTGACAATATCGACAAAATACAGAGTCACTGGGCCCTGAAAGGATGTTAGTTGTTGAACTGGGTAACTTGCATCGCAGAAATTGAGAAAGACATTCTGCTCAAAAATGCTATTCACTTGAAGTCGCCTTCTTCAATCTATTCATCCGGCTTATTCGTTCACACAAAGCTTTGTAGGAAGAAAAATTAGGTTGGGAAGAGGAAAAGCTTTAAATGTCTCGTACTCTCCACATGGGGACTGACCTCGCTTACGAGATTGCCCTGTCTTTTTAACTGCTGAATAGATAAAACGGATACTTCAAAACAGATAGTTCACCGAGTTCCAATAACTTTGACTTATTGAAATGTCAATGGGCTTGTTCAACGCGGACGAAGGCAGATTGGCCAATAAGCGCCTTTTGAAATTCAAGCCGTGACGAGGGTTCGTCTCGATTAAATAACTTTCAATCCTCTTCTATTACAGTACCTGAGAAGGTTTGTTCCTGGGGTTTCAAAGTCCTCGAGGGCATACGCCCCTCAGGATCCTTGACCCTGAGGAATAGTTGCCCTACAGTCATATACTCCGGCGAGAGTTCATTCCCCCTCCAGACACCTAGTAGCGAGATACTCCCAATAGTAATTGCATGTACGAAGCGAAAAACATATTTTGTCCGTGTTCTAGCACTCAAAGCAAGAATCGTGGTGATAGTCAATAATCAATCATATAGCAAGGCCGGATAGATAATGTGATTTCAAAAGCCGTAGATTCTATCCTTTTGCCACACAGAGGTCCTTTTTACTTCTTTCAACTGGTTTTAGATAGAAGGAGCCCTAGAGGCGTCAGGAAAATTCAAGCTATAGAGGTATGCCTCGGCACGACCCGCGGGTGACCCTCGGCGGGTGACCCTCCGACCCTCGTTTTGAGGGTCGAGGATCTGGCTTATTGACCCGCGGGTCAGGTCTAGTATAGGTAGGACCCTCGCGAGGGTTACCCGCGGGTCACCCGCGGGTAGTCAAACTAAGCAAATAGGAGGAAATTATGTATTATTTAGATAACTAAGCAAAGTTATGATCGTGCACGGCTACGATTAGAAAGACGAAAAAGGCTAAAACGTAGACGCGAAATAATAGGATCTCGTAGATCCGTAGCGCGACCGCTGTTCTAATAGGGTAGATATAGCGGGGCCTATAGTCCCCGACCGCGAACGAAAACGACAAATCACGAATAGGAAGAAAAACGAAAAGATAAACGACAAAAAAAAGGGGAAGACTTCGATAGGCTTCCTGAAGGACCTAAGGAAGGACGTATTATACTGCAAAAAATTTGCTATAGGCTTGCTACAATTGAAGCGTGATTAGTTCGTAAAGTCTTAGATTCTTAAGTCTTGGGGGTTGGGCCCCGAAGATATCGAGATGCGAATCACGTGGACTCGCACTTATGTAATGGACCACATAACACCGCCGGCCTGCGCCTGCCCTAACGTCGATTCTTGGCGACCCTAGCGTTGCAATACCCGAGGGACAAAGCCTAATTCTGAATGTCACCTCTAGCTAGAGGCTGTTGCTAGGACCTTCTTGTGACTATCATGCTATGGTAGGAGCCATGGGAATAATGTAACCGTTTATGGTAACCTGCAAGGGGGGGTAAACAAGAAAAACAACCACCAACAAGCATATAGATCCCACGGTGCTACCGCGGCTATCTGGATCAACCCAAAGTCATGTTTTTCATCAAATACACCTCCTGCTTTCGAGCTTTCCTTCTTGGTCTCCTAACTCTTGGGACAGTCACTGCGGTACCCACTAGTAGGGACAGCGGCCCTCTCGCACTGTCGCCCACACCTCAAGAGATTTCTTCCCATGGCCGGGGAGTCTTGCTTACTGGAGATGTCACTATTGTGACAGGCAATGCCACAGACTCGGCCATAATTGATTTGATCAAGGTGATTGTGTTGTCTGCTGGGGGAAGAGCCAATGTCTCACCGCAGCCCATCGGCCGTGGCACCAGATAGTCATTGGTACCGAGTCTGAGAATGAAATTGCTGGTACCATAGCGAAAGCTTTCACAGGGAGCTCTGCAGATGGGTTCACTGCCGATGGGTACATCCTTGTAGCTGGCGATTTCAAAGGGCAGCCGAGTATCGTGCTCAATGGCGTGGATAAGCGTGGCACCTTCTATGCCGCACAGACGCTTCGTCAGCTCGGCAATGGCCATACTATTCCTAGTGTCAAGATACGAGACTGGCCACTTATGTCCATTCGTGGCTCTATTGAGGGCTTCTATGGACAGCCATGGTCCCACCAGGCGCGTCTCGACCAGTTCGTCTTCTATGGAAAACACAAGATGAACACTTATGTCTATACCCCCAAGGATGACCCCCTACTTCGTGCAAAGTGGCGCACACTTTACACTGGCAACGCCCTTACCCAGCTCCAAGAACTCATTGACACTGCTAATACCAATCATGTCGACTTCACCTTTGCTCTGTCTCCGGGTCTGGACTTGTGTTACTCCTCGGATGCCGACTTCAATGCCACAATCACCAAGCTTGATCAAGCTCGTAAACTTGGCGTTCGAAGCTTTTACATTGCCTTTGATGACATACCTACAAAATTCCACTGTGACTCAGATAAGCAAAAGTGGGTTGACACGGGTAACTGGCATTGGCTGGCCGATGCCCAGGCTTACTATCTGAACCGCATTCAGAAAGAATATCTGGTGCCAAACGGCCTCAACGATCTTGAGACCGTACCCACCAACTATGCTGGCAGCGCACCAAATCCTTACAAGGAAGATTTTGGTACCATGCTGAACAAAAACATCAGCATCCAGTGGACCGGTGAAGGCGTGTTCAGCGATCAGATCAACGACACAAGTGTGCAACGGGCCGCCTCGACTTATGTCACAGAGAAGTTGTTCTTGTGGGACAATTTCCCCGTGAACGATGGCAATCGTAACCGGCTATTCCTCAACCCCCTTACTGGTCGTTCAGCAGATTTGCACAAGTATCTCCTCGGCTTCACCTCGAATCCGATGGAGCAGGCCTACGCCTCCATGCCCGCCCTTGCCAACTACGGCGATTACATGTGGAACGGGCCAAAGTATGATGCCGACCAGTCAATGGCTGCAATATTGTGGGAACTTTCAGGCAGTGATAAAGCCGTCCACGGAGCACTGCTAGCATTCGTAGATCTGAACCAAAATTGGCCATACCGCTCTCCCCAGATTCATTCGCCTCAGTTAAGCAGCGATATCACAGCCTTCTGGGCGGCTAGAAAAGCGTCCCCACACACCAAAAGTCGACATACAAACGGAGAATCGGCCTTGATCAACCGCCTTGCCCTTCTCACTACACTCCCTGACGTTCTTCCGCGCATGGAAATGAAGGGTTTTGCGAATGATGTGGCTCCCTGGTCAACCGTTGCCATGCAATGGGCCAAGGCTTGCCAACACTTGATTGCTATGCTCCATGCGCTTGATGAGGGCCATAAGACAGAGGCTCACAGCGAGTTCACTGCCGCCCAGGGCTGGGTCAATAAAACTAAGACCAAGACCGTGAATGACCGAAACGATGAGGGCCAAGAGCTTCCCAAATCGATCATCCCTATTACTGGTGATGGCTTGTTCGACAAATTTTTGGCAAATGCCACGGCTATTTACAAGGGCCACTAAGTTGTCCTTCAAGTTCACGGATGATCAGGTAAACCTGTGTGATGAAATAGATGGGAAAGAAGCATGTAAATACTATAGTCACCTGGGGATGACGTCCACAGAATTCGAACATTAATCTATATCGTGAGTATTAATTGACAAGAAAAGCGCTTGCATCACGCATGCATTTTCTTAAACTCAAGGAAAGGTTCTGAGAGAGAATATGGAGTTTCTTGGTAGATATAATTTTAGGATATCGCTAGACCAATGGATTTGTGAGCCTATGGTTGATTTAAGGTTGAAACGAGTCAGATTACAACCATTGATCCTGTCGACTCTCGAGCAGCTTAAGAGTAGATCATCTTCTTTAGGTCAGCCTAGGGGATATGGAAATACATACAAGGGCTGTCAACTCCTCTTGGTGTTATAAGATGTCATTTGTACGTGACTTCGGACTTTAAGGTGAAATTTGCTCAATCTCCTTCACGATCATATTTCCTTAGCCAATTCAATACTTTTCATGAAGATTATATATATGTTATATATTTATTTCACTCACCCGAACCAAGTCCCATTTTAGTCGTTAAAAAACATCTCAACCCATCTCTTTATAAAAAAAGGCGGCGGATTTTTCTCAATACATATAATATTATATCATTCACTTAGTCTATCTAGTCGTAAGCCATTTTTTTAGATGTGAACCAAAATGGTGTGGGATGAACGGATGATTCAGAAGTTCAGAGCAAAAAAAGAATTTGCTCGAGACCGGAGTCGAACCGGCGATCTCCCGTTAAATCTCACGTTACTGGAACGGTACGAGACGGGCGCCTTAGCCACTTGGCCACACGAGCTGTTCGATAAGTGCCTTTCTCTTGTCTTGATCCATAGTATACATAATTATAACCGAAAAAGCCGAATGGTATGAAATCGATCCAAGCTGGGATCTAGGGGCATCATACAAATTAGGTTACGATGTATAGACTGGGAGCGATGACCGCAACATCATAGCACCAGGGCCCGACCGATTTGACTTTTCCCTCACGTTTCGCCCAGCGTCCAGGCGAGGCTCTCACCTAGGCACCCACACCAGGGTTGCAAGATGGACCGATACTGTTCTGTGCTGCCGCCTGCTCATGGCCCAGCACCGATCTTTCCTGCGTTTTCGGAGATCATGGAGAACCCATACTCGCGACACTACAGCGGACAGGTGGAGATGGAATCGCGGGCGCTTCGGTGAGTAAGACTGTGATGACGGTCTGGAGCCGCTTGTCTCCCGTGAAGCTGAGGATTCCCGGATCCCTGGGTGCGATGACGGCACATGTGAGCTCACTGGGTATGACTCGATAAAAATACCCGATCCTCATCCTTTGAACCAGGGTCGGGACCAATGAGCTTCTGAATAAGTCTAACAAACATGTCTCGGGGTGACAGGAAGACCTGTGTTTGGACCTGGAGGGGGCTGGGGGATTCCCAAACAAGGATCAGCAAGACCGAAGGGACGGGGCCAAGCGTTGCCATAAGAACGCCTACTATAGAACTGTGGGGGAGGGAAAAGAACAAGAAAGGTCGATTGTGAAGATATCTACGGCAATTGCGAGGCTTATCCAGGGGATGTGAGATGTACCTGAGGCTGACTCCGATCATGTCATCGGATCAGGATTCATTTGACGCCTCGAGACGCCCAGTGGTGCCTGATCTCGACATCCCCTGCTTATCCTGTATGCAGCAAGTCATCACAGCCATCACCAAAAGTCCTTGACTCAGAATAGTTAAATCGAAGACCAACAAGCATGACTTAATTTTAATACGGTCCCGGCTGCCGCCATGCATCTAATTGTGATCAATAGAAGGGGGCTAAATAGATAGGGATGGGTCTAGGGATGTGATAACTATGAGGCCACCCAACATTATTACCGCGCGCTATGCAGGATACCTCATAAGCGAGAACCATTAATTTGCCGCGTATTTATTCCACATATAACTCGCCTACTAACTCCACAGCTTGGACCCCGTCAGGGTTGAACGGTTCGAGGGCTGCCAAACGGATGAGGCTCCTCAGGCTATTTACGAGTGATCTTCGCCCACCCCCCCGCTACTGATTTTCCTTAACTCTCATCTCCACGGTTTCTACCAGCCTCATCATGTCTTTCGCATTGTCAATCAAACATGCGCTAGATGTGAGGCATGCGCTGAGCATCGTCGCTACTCTCGTTGGCCTCTTTTTCATCTTTACATCGTTTCTCATCCACCATGGGCGAAAGTCTCACGAAGAATGGACTCTCCTTCGCAAGAATGCGGCTCGCAATACTCTCGCCATGTTTGTTTCGTTATTGTTTATGGCTGATGTGGCCTTGATATCGCTAGGTCGCTACAACTTCGGAGATGTCCAAAATCACATTGTAGCAACGTCTTTCTTTTCTGGGGCTTGGGCTCTCATGTCTGGGCGCAAAAGACTAATTCTGACAGAAACCTCAGGTCTCTCGCTAATTTCACTGATTTATTGTATAGCACTTTTGTCTCTTGATTTTACAACGTTTGCATTCTTTGATGGTCCTGCACTTTCGATTCAATCTACTAGAATTCTAAGTCTTGTCGTGATTCTCATTGACTGTCTTCTCCGGCGCATTGCATCAAAGCGCCCTGTGAAATTAGAAGAAGAATCTGGGCCGCTGCTCCCATACACCGATGATGATACCTCAGTCGAGACCGCTACCAACAACGCATCACCTGTCCAACCTGCAAAAATTGGAGACAACTCTACGTCTGCTGATAGCGCTACAGACTCTGACTCCGACTCCGAATCAGACTCCGATGATGAGGATAAAGGTGATAGCAATAAGAAAGATCCGAAGAAGAAAAGTCTGCTCGCTAAATGCGAGACGTGGAGGGAGTATGTTGATCAATTTAAGCCTATCTGGCCATACCTCGTACCGAGAAACGATCTCAAGACCCAGACGTGTTTGTCTGTTTGTATACTGTGTATGATCGCGTGGCGCTTTACAACTGTCCTCGTTCCTCGTCAAATGGGAATCATATCCACCAAGATCTTCGCTGGAGAAGCCCCGTATACCGACCTTATGATTTATTTCGCCATACGGATTATCGAAGGACGCTCGGGCCTAGGCTTTATTGACTCTCTGGCAAAAATTCCAGTTCAGCAATTTTCATATCGCCAGTTGACGAACGCAGCTTTCAATCATGTTATGCTGCTCGACATGAAGTTCCACTCCTCTCGAGACTCTGCAGAAGTGATGAGAGCTATTGGACAAGGAAATGCGCTGGGCAGTCTTTTTGAGACAGCAGTTCTGGAAATTGGTCCGACGGTGATCGACGCACTTGTGGCATTCGCTACTTTGTACTTGAAATTTAACTCTTCGATCGCACTTTGCATGGTTATTGCGTCGGTTACTTTTTTCGCTCTCCATGTTTCCACCTCTGGCTGGAATATTGACAGTCGACGAAAGATGGTCAAGTCTTCAAGACGGGAAGCCCGAATCATGCACCAGTCTGTGCAAGGATGGCCTACTGTTTCAGCATTTAACATGTTCTCCTATGAAAAGGACCACTTTGGGAGCGCTGTGGATAAGGCTCTTGACCGGGAGAGGGATTACGTGACACGTTCTTCTATTCTTTCTGCAGCCACATCAGCATTTATTCCTACCACATTCACACTTCTCTGTGGCCTCATTATCCATGAGGTTTATGCAGGCCGTGCATCCCCTGGAGACTTCATTTTCTTTACCCAATACTGGGGCTCCATTATTGGGCCTATTCGAAATCTCACCTATCGATATCGGTGGTTGATCCAAGATTTAATTGATGCGGAACGAGTGCTCGAGTTACTCTCAAGGAAACCCGATATTGTAGACAAGGAGGGGGCCATCCCTTTACCCTATGCCGAGGGGAACGTCCAGTTCGAGAATGTCAGCTTCTCCTACGATGGCCATCGCATGGCAACGCGCGACGTTACCTTTACTGCCCCCGCAGGAGAGACAATCGGTCTGGTGGGAACCACTGGATCAGGCAAGTCATCTCTCATGAACCTTCTCATGCGCCTGTACGATGTCGGTTCTGGTAGCATCAAGATTGACGGACACGACATCCGAGATATCACGCAAGGATCTCTTAGGGACGCGGTCGGAATAGTCCCCCAAGAACCGCTCTTTTTCAATACCTCTATCATGAAGAATCTGCGCTATGCCAAGCCATCGGCATCTGACGAAGAAGTTTATGAGGCCTGTAAGGCCGCAGCAATTCATGATAAAATTCTCACTTTCACCAAGGGATATAAATCCCAAGTAGGAGAAAATGGAATCAAACTGTCTGGTGGTGAGGCGCAACGGCTCGCGATTGCGAGAGTCTTTCTCAAAAACCCTCGAATTCTCATCCTCGATGAGGCTACAAGCAAAATTGATACTGAGACAGAATTGGAAGTCCAGGTTGCCTTGGAAAGAATCAGCCAAAAACGCACTACTCTTGTGATCGCACACCGACTCTCCACTGTTGTGCGAGCGAACAAAATTCTAGTACTAGAGGAGGGAGAAATTATTGAACAAGGGACACATAGCGAACTCTTGAAACAGGGTGGAAAATACTCGAAATTGTGGAAAGCACAGACGGACTCGTTGGATGAGAAATTGACCTAAGGCAATGTCTCTTCCATAACAAGAAGCGCTATGAATTACCTTATAATATTGAATGGAATCTAAAGGTTGTCTCTCAATTTATACCAAATATGGACGTTTAGAATAATGCCAACAAGGACCTTGGAATCCGCTTGTGAATGGTTATCAAACCCAGGGTTCTGCATGTAGGTAAATTTGGGATGTATGGATGTTGTCATTAACTTGTGTATATCAATGATTTTACATATGTCAACAGTCAGGATTATCAAAATTCAATCATGATAAGTTTGCAAGAATCATTCTCATATTCACTATGTTGAGCAAAAAAATTAATGTACTCTGAAAATCTCGTGAATTAGAAGGCAGCGTTATCTATGTAAAGAACCGAAATGAAATCGACCCGTCAATTTTTCAGACTGCCATGAGTAAATCTCGAAGAGGAAATATGCGGGATCTGATTTCCTCAATAGACTAAACAGAATAAGTGTCATCAAAAGATCGATGCCAGATTTGGTTTCTATTCATTTATAGATCTGCACCTGGTCCGGCTCCGCAATCCGTGCTTCCGCGTTGTGGGCACGGATAATTCGACGTATGAATTGTCGACGGCTTCGGAGATTAACCAGTCGATTCGAATTTCCGCTTATGAACTAACCTTCTCGCCAGATGGGTGAATGGCCAGGGCGCTACGAAGACGACTTGAAACTCGGCAAGTGGGCATAATAAAAGACCTGAAGCGTCTAAATGAGGTTGCATTTCGGGAAGATGGGGGCGGGGTACCTGCCTAGGTAGTAGGTAAAAGCTAGGCACATCATCTTATAAATCACCACGGAAATCCTGTGATTGATCGTGGTCTTGTTTCCAGTTGATACTGATATAGCACAGTTGTCCTCTATCTACTTTAATTCAAAAACATTTCATTGCAAAGGCCCCGAGACTCCTTTACAACTTCTGCCTATCATCACTGTGCAAAGTCTTCACAATGCCGGGGCAATGGCGCCCCGGCAAGCGGGTTGCAATCATTGGCGGTGGTCCCGGCGGGATTTCCACAGCACTTGCCTTTCGCAAACGCGGTTACGATGTCCGAGTCTTTGAACGGCAGTCAGAATTTAAGGCCATTGGTGGCGCAGTCCTGCTGTCTACGCCAGTGCTAGCAGTTCTACGCTCATTCGGGATAGGTCTTAGCAATGTAGGATCCTATACGACAACTACTTTTAACAACGATCGTGGATTGGAGCGTGTCAAATTGCCATTCAACCCCGAAGTTGAGAGACGTATGGGGATCAAAGGTTGGCATTACGGTGTCTTACGCTCATCAATATTTAAGAAGATGCTTGACCTGATTCCTGACACGGAAGACATTCTTTTTCCCCATCACGAATTTGCTTCTTACACTGATCTTCAAGATGCTATTGAAGTCACCTTCAAAAATGGAAACAAAATTACTGCCGATATTGTCGTTGGCGCGGATGGAATTCGCTCAGGTGTCTCAAAGCAAGCATTTGGTGACCCTAACCTGTTCCATACAGGTATTCGCCTCTGGCTTGCATGGTGCGATCAAATCCCTGGCATCACCGAGAATACTGGCATGATATCGCATAGCTCGCAGTATCAAGCAAGTTATTTTCCAATGCTTCATGATGGTAAGCCTGGCTTTGAATGGTGGGTTGTGGAACCTTCCTGGGAGGGTAAGCCATTACCAGAAGATCCGAAGGCGCATTTGCAAAAGATCCTGGAAAATTGGACTGAACCTATGCCTCGCTTTCTTGATGCCACGAATTTTGACGAACAGGTTTACAGATGGGAGATCTATAACCGGCCGTCAATGACGAAGTGGTCATCTGGGCGTATAGTGTGCGTGGGTGATGCTGTCCATCCAGTCTCGCCATATGCTGCATATGGAATGGGAATGGCTATTGAAGATGGGTATTATCTTGCTAGATCTTTAGATGGGGTTGATCTGCAAGATATTCGCGCTGTGAATGCTGGGTTTGAGCTATACGAAAAACAGCGAGTTGACTATGTTAATCACAACATGGAATTCGCTCGCTTCCTCGGGAGAATGTTCCACTCGTTACCCTGGCCGATTTCTAAGCTTCGAGATATGATATTTGATTATACACCCTTCCTTGGCCATTTCATGCTAAAGGGCTATCTTCAGAAGTCAGAAGAGGAAACAATTAACCTGAAGGAGCTTCAAGTGGTATAGCGAGGCAGATGCATTGGACACTGCATCTATGGCAGTATCTTGGATTATTTGATGATGACTACTGTATTCAAAAGAAAATCAAGGACACGGTGTTTCAAGTGCGCGATAACTCCCTGTTGTACCTTTAAACAAACATTAGGTATCTAAAAAGACAACACTTGTTCTGGGTTTCTTGCGTTGAAACTTATGTCCATTGGCAGTTTTTGCATCCATTGGCAGTTTTTGCATCCATTGGCAGTTTTTGCATCCATTGGCAGTTTTTGCATCCATTGGCAGTTTTTGCATCCATTGGCAGTTTTTGCATCCATTGGCAGTTTTTGCATACAATTGATCGAATTCGTCATAGAATACAATATACGTATGTAAACAGGCAATTGCGCTCTATAGGTATCAAGGTTGGAATCAGAGAGACAGAAAGTTAATAAATAGCGCAAAACCAACCAAAAAAATCATTCAAGCCATCTTCCTCTCGTTATTTCAGATTTGATCCATCATATGCGGGTGGCGGCTCGTTATTATATGACAAGTTATCCCCAAGTGGTTCTTGTATCGGCGTCTTGCCTGCCCTCGTTCTCCGATAATATCGAAGCCCATAGAATGCCACGAATGACAGCAGCACTACAGCAGCGGGGACGCCGATCCCAATGCCAATCTTCTCCTTCTTACTAAGAGAGTGATCTTCTGGTAGTGCGAGAGAATCCGTGGGAATGGGCACAAGGTCGGATTGGGAGGCACGAAAGCGAATTTGGATTGGAGTGGCGGTGATCCCATAGACTGATGTTACAACAGAGAGGGTTGGGTCCGTGTAGGTGATAGTCGAGTACGAGTTGAAGGTCTTGCTGCAGGTGTCTTTGCCGCCGCAATCAAATCCGCTGTGTTGATCAATATTAGTAGAGATTCGAGATCGAGAAAAACTGGTGTTCAGTATCGAAAATTATGGATGACTGAATGAACATACCTTGGGCAGCAAATCGCTGTGGTCTCAGATCTCTGCGTCGATGTAGGCAGTGTACATGTTTTATACCCGGATGGACACTGACCCGGGCTGAAATATCGATCCCATTTCCAGTTGTCGGGACAGCATTCATTCCCATACGGGCCCTCGCATCCTACTAGCAAGTACGGGCGCCCGTATGTTACTGCGGTCTGAGTGCTGAGGCATGAAGCGGGTGGTGTGAAGACAGTTGTCAGGGGGCCTGCGTTGACGGTGCGAAAAGTGTCGAGGCTATTGGCATAATCGTCATAGTAGCTTCCTTGTACGTGGCTGAGGAAAGGTAAAAGTGCGAATAGTGGTAGAGATGATAGAATGGTACCTGATTGTCCCATAATAGCAGTTGGTGTGGAGTTCAGAGACAGACAGACTGAAAATTGACCCATACAATTGGAAATACGAGATTTAGATTGGATTTAAGAAGAACGTCGCACGATACTCGCGATACTTATAAATAGGCTCTGCTCGATGGCAGTGGCATTGAACCCATTGATACGATTCCTCCCTCGTAGATCAAAGCACACACTTGTCCAAGTCCTCGCCAAGAGTTTCCACTCCTCGTATTGCGCCCTGGTTTCGAGTTACGGAAAAATCATCCTATAGGTTCGAAATGAGAGTCGGGCGCTGGGTTCCGATGATTGTTTCTGCTGCGGTCGAGAGTGGATCCCCGACCTATTCCTAAACAAGTGCGATCTTACGAAACGGCAGTAATTTGCGCTAACCTAGGCTGGAGAAGACCCTGGATTGCATCGAGTCAGCTTGGAACGAGCGGCCGGGGCAACTTATTCACGGCGCGGTGCTGATATGTCTCCGACGTCGTGGCACAGCACAAATACATATTTGGATTTGGGAACCCTCAGAAAGAAAGCCGCGGGAACCTGTATGTACCTACATGTCTGACAAGTAGACAGGATGAGAAGGATTCATGAACAAGCTAACAAACCACCGCACATCACGTTGGAAGACGGTCTCTTAAAGAGGTAACAGATACTGTCTAAGCGAAAGAGTGTAGAAGTTGTATTCTTTTCCCTATCCGAGATGTGAAGCTATGTTCGGTAAAGACAGTGTACCATTGGAAATATCATCCAATCAGAAACAACCTATCGTAGAACAACTGTTGCGATTACCTCGGGGATCATCGTTAAATAGTCCATATGCATCCACAGTCGCAGAATAATAGGCCATAATGAGTGATTGAATCTGTTACACATATACAAGATCCACAATAGTACAAGCGAGACAACATCCAAAGACAGGCTCATTGTCTTCATAGACCATGGCGCATGATTAATGCAAATTGTACAAAAATTTTACGAGACCAGAAGTATCCCCAAAATCAAGCAGAGTGATATCATGATACAAAGAAAAATCGTGAGAGAAATGCCGAGTATGCTGATTGTTAGTCTTCTTGCCGTGGAGAAACGGCTTATTTAGGGTTGTATTTTTCTTTCCAGATCCTGTAGAGGCACCAATTAGCAAAAGAAAAAGACAGTTTTCGCACCTCCACTTTACGCACCATGAGTTTCCTACGGTAGGGCTTCCATTTTCCTCGGCCAGCCTATAGTACCTGGCCGCTTTGAACTGTATTCATAGAATTGAGCGAGAGTCCATCCATTTTTGGCAGTATTCCCAACATACCTTGTCCTTCTTACCCCCGAATCCCTCGAGGTAGCACCATGCAACTTGATCCATGGCGTCCGTGTCTCCCAAATTTGCAGCAGTCTCATAATATTGTCGAGCCGCAGCAGGATCTTTCTCAACACCCCAGCCCATACGAAAGCAGTTCGCCAACTCGAAGATGGCAAGAACGAGTTCGCATTTGGCGACACCGCCCTTCTTCATGCCTGCACGCAGGGCCTCTGACTCAACAGCAGCTGAATTTGTGGCTGCAGCGGATAGGTATGTCACAGCTTCAGTCTCATTTTTGTCACACCCCCACCCGTGTCTAATGAAAAATTGTCAACACATACTTGACCGCTGGAGCTCAATTGTATGTCATACCGGAGGGCTAGACCATAGAGGACTTGACTTAAAGGGTTATTTGCACCATTGGGATCGGCGAGATGTGCAAACATTTGGGTAGACCGTTCCAGTTCTAGAGGACAGTGTTAGAGATACGAAAACTAGATCCAGTCTTGGGATTCTTGAAGGACTGACCTCCTTCTTCATGCAGCCGAATCGCCTCTTGAATATTTACCTGCCCCCGGTGTCAACAACAACATATTTTCACATTCCTATCTGACTGGAAGGTCACAACCCAACTTACGTCATCTTTTAGATCCTCAGCATAACTCCGACTTGAACTCCTTGACCTGCCGTCTTGTCCGACCTGCAACGCGATGTCCCCTTGAGACTGCAGCGGTGACGAAAGTGAAGCGCCAGAATGCCCAAGGTTTGGATTTTGCTGGATGAGCACCGTTGCGCGCTTCTCCCACTGCGCCTCACGCTCCTGCTTATCGAAATTTTGGTCATCCTCAATTTGAGGCAAATTGTCCGGGATGTTCACAGAGGAGTCGCGTGAGTTGCTCCGGTTGCGATGGAGGAGATGCGAGAAGCGGCGCTGCCGCGGCGGAGACGGACTGGATAGGGAGGGCGACCTTGAGGAGCGGTGGAGAAACTGAAAGCTTCGGCGTGAGGTAGTTGACGAAGGACGAGATGATTCTAGCGAAGCAGGCGCATCTTTATGCTCATACTCGTGGCTTGAGAAGGACGGCGGGGTGATCACCTCTTCCCCGAAGGTATCTGAGCGAAGGAATGTGATCTCGGGCGGGGATGAAACGGCTGGAAAGGACTGTGCATTGCCATCAGATGCTTGAGATTTCTCACTGATTTCCTCACGTTTGTGGAGTATGTGTTTGAGTGAAGGCATTTTTGGTGGTATTGCGATATGCGATGCGGCTCGATGCGGAGGTGCGCGGGGAACAAAGGTGGACCCTCAGATGGAGAAATAAAAGCCAGCGCCTAGAGATCTCTGGAGATTATGTGATGGGTGCTGCGTAAGCCCGTGAAATGACAAAGGAAGAGGTTTAGCTGGGTAAGAATAGTGAGACGGTGCTCCAGGTTCGTGTCGTGGCTGTGGTGGGTGGCCTGGTCGGCCGGTTCCATTGGGTCTGCTCTGCGGCTAAGCTGAATGAGGGCGCTTACAGGGCAAGCACACCCATGCATAGAATCGATGGAGGTCGTCGGGAATGCCGACGACGCAATAAGCCCGAAAATAAAAATACGTCATAATATCGCTGCTTTGAATTCATTATCTATATATGGTGTGTGTCCCACATGTGGCTTGCTGCATCGGCCCATGCGTCCTTAGCGTCATGAAACTGCCAAAAACCGAGGCCGGAGGCCCATTACGAAGAATAGATATAAAGCAAAGTTCGATCCAAAAAGGAATTCCATGCATACGCAAGGCAGAACTACGAGTTAAAAATTGAGGCAAGGAGACGTTCCATGTTCTACAATAGAGCGAGGCTAGAAGAGTATACTCGGGACGCCGAAATCGGACAGAAAGCCGGAGCAATCCCTCAAGGGACGATCGACAGATATGGACGATAAAAGAAAATGGTATTGCAATTCTAACTCAGCAGATGCAAATAGCCCCTATAGTTTTGTACACAATGGCAACAGCCGACGGAGCCACCGGAGTCCATTTACTGGGCCTTGGAAGCCATGATGCCTGTGGAGAATGTTAGCCAACAGTCCAACAACAAACAAATCGACCACAGCAATCAATCGATGCGGATAATCTGAATATTCAAAGGGGACACTCACGCTCAACATCGGCAACGCTCTGCTGGAGAATCTGCTGCAGAACCTTGGGGTTCTCAAGCTCCTTCTGGATCTTGCCAATAACGGACTCAGCGAGTTCACGCTGCTGGCGCTGCTTAACCTGGCCCTCGTAGCGAACCCAAGAGTCGAGAACAGTCTTGGCCTCGGCGGCGAGGGCAGTGCGCTGCTCGAGCTCATAGGCCTGAGCCTCAAGCTGGGCGGTCTCCTGTAAAACGACAAAAACCAGGTCAGGACACAGAACTTGTCGAATTTAATTCGCCTCCGGATGGTACTTCTGTTGGTAGTGAACATAATATGCGTACCTTGGAGACAGCGAAAAGCTGCTTAGTGACCTCAACAACACCGGACATCTCCTTGACGTTGTCAATGCGCTGCTGGACGGCGTTGGTGTGGTCGGCACGGGCAGCGTTCAGGATGTCCTTGTGCTTCTGGACCTGGCCCTTAGCCCACTCGCTGTAAGCGGGACCACCGTACTTGGCAACGGCAGTGAAGACGGAGAGCAGACAGAAGGCGGCGACGGTCTCCTCGTTCATCACGTAGAGCTCGTTGCTGATGGCGGCGATGGACAGACCGGCAGCAGCGGAGAGGGTGGCGGTCTTGGACACCAGAGAGTTGCCGGGAACAGCATCGAGGATCGACTGAGCCTTCTTGGCAGGCTCCTCGGCAGGGACGTTGGAGGCCGCGCGGGTTGAGGTCAGAGCAGTGATGGCAGGGACACGGGCGGAAACGGTCGGCCGCAGCCGGGCGGCGCCTGGAGTGAAACGCATATTAGATACCGGAATACATCAGAACGGACCAGGGCAAGTAAGATGCTGCGTACCAATGGCGCTCTTAGCGAGACGCGAAGCCATTGTTGCGGATGGAAAGATCCTGTGAATAGGGTGGGTGAATCGGAGAGGAGACTTGAGGTCGGGACGGCTAGGACGGGCTTGCACACGCTAGCCGTTTTTGGATGTAGCATGGTGCGGCGGAAAAACCCGGGCGCCGAGTCCAAAAAATTACCGGCAGAAAAAAAGAGGCCGATGAAGTACAAGTTTCAAGATCACGCCAGCCATTTCTCCCTGCCCGACACAATGCCAGCAGCTATGGAGGCATCAAGCTCCAAGAAGCGCAAAAGCACCAAAAATGGCGGTGCCCCGTCCTCCAAGCGCCGCGCAGTAGCCGAGAACGATGGCTTTGCGCAGTCATTATCGACCATCCAAGAATTAGAGGAACAGATTGCGGAGTCGCGCAAATACTATAACAACATTGCAACCTTGATCTCGATGCTGAATGTTGAAACCAATGCCAAGAATCCAGAACTCGCTGTCGCCGTCTCATTATGCCGGGTGTTCAGTCGATTGATGGCCGCGGGCAGCATGACTGATTCTAGTCGTGCCGCTGAGAATGAGAAAATCGTCGTGGCGTGGCTTAATGAGCGCTGCCAGGAGTACCAACGAGCATTGATCTCGATCATGCGCGAGGCTGACACCGCCTCCCAGGTATGAGATTTATCTGTGCATTCAAGATTAAGAGAAAGTTGTGCTAATGTCGGTGGATTGGTAGATTGCAGCCTTGACACTGGGCATGCGCTTGGTAAAGGAACGTACCACCCATATTCCCGGACAAGAAACCTTGGCCTGGTCTACCCTGTTCAAAGAAATTTTGGAAGCGGTTGTCGAGGCCCGGGATAGCGAGGACTTACGGACCGAATTTATCACCAAATTCGCCAAGGAATACGAGGACGTCAGATTCCATACCTTTTCACAAATAGAGTATGTTTCGACGACTCCCTCAAGCCATTGCTTGTACGTTTCCTAACTTATCATAGGATTTATGCTTCATCGCGCCAAAAGTCGGACGTTATCGACGCCTTGATTGCCATCCTTTCTGCCTGCGACGATGTCCCAGAAGCCGGATATGAAATTGACGACGAAGAGTTCTTTGCGAAACCGGAACCGGACAATAAGCGAATTCGGTCTATCAGCGGCCACAAGAAGCGAGCACAAGAGGCGTGGTTGGCCATTCTGCGAAATAATCTTTCACAGACGCAGCGAAAGACCCTCCTGCGTATCATGACGCATAATATTGAGCCTTGGTTTACCCGGCCTGAGCTCTTGATGGACTTCTTGACTGACTCGTACAATGAGGGCGGTTCTATCTCCCTCCTCGCTCTCTCCGGTCTTTTCTATCTCATCCAGGAGAAGAATCTGGACTACCCGCAATTCTACACTAAACTCTACTCCCTCCTCGACGCGGAACTCCTACACTCGAAGCATCGATCACGGTTCTTTCGCCTCCTTAACACCTTTCTTGCCTCTACCCATCTCCCTGCGACACTCGTTGCAAGCTTCATCAAGCGTCTCTCCCGCCTCGCACTTAATGCTCCCCCGTCGGCTATTGTTGTCATTGTCCCTTTCATGTACAATCTCTTCAAGAGCCACCCCACGTGCACCTTCATGATGCATCGTGCTATCCGCGATAAGGATTTAGCTGCAGAGATTGAGGCTGAAGGCATGGATGACCCCTTCAACCCGTTCGAGCTAGACCCTACCCGCACCCACGCGATCGAGAGCAGTCTTTGGGAAATCCAGGCTCTCCAGTCTCACTACCACCCAAATGTTGCTGCTATTGCACGCATCATCTCCGAGCAGTTCACCAAACAAGCCTACAACCTTGAAGATTTCCTTGATCACACCTACCAGGGAATGGTTCAATCAGAACTTGGAACCGGGGAGAGACCCATGAAGAAGACACCTGTTGTGGAGTATCAGATTCCCAAGCGTATCTTCACCGATCGCTTGTTGGCGGAGGATGGCGGTGTGGACTCCGGCGCAGGATGTTTCCTGCGTGGGCTGTGGGACTTTTAATTTTACTCATGCATAATATGAAAAGTAAAGGCGTTTAGATACTTCGGTGACTTTTAGATGCTGTCACTACCATCAATGCATCCCACTTCGACATGATGCACCATATTTTATGGCTTGGCGTATCTCGGAATGTAGAACATAGGCGGAGTCCCAAGACGTTTAGGCGTAAAGCAGAGCCGGCAAGGTCTCTTATCTGATCTCAGATAACAGCAATTGGAGCATTTTCCATACTGTATCTCTGCACATGCTATGAATACAGTACTTAAAAATCATCTACAACACGAGACGACTCGCCAGAGCCCATAAGACATCAGCGTTGACGTCGAGAAAGTTCGTCACGTCCGGCCTCTTCCCTCCTGCCATGTCTGCCTCTCCTTTTCATCACTTGAACTTCAATCTTGTCGCCCTCCAAGAGGATCCAGAGAAGTATCAACTGCACCAGCAAACTTGCAATGAACATGAAATCTTGAACATCATGTAACAAACAGGAATCAGAAGAAACTATCAAGGTTGCCAAGGACTGAGACTGACTCTGATTCTCCCTCACGCGCACTCTGTTGAACGAGATCTGACACATCCATATCGTTCTTCATCTCTTCCCGGACCTCTGCGATGCCGGACCCATCCAGTCCACCAGACAAGTCGAGGTTGCAACAGATTCCCATGATATTTCTGATCTTTCAAAATTCTCATGAGGTATCGAAGACCATATTGACCTGAAAGTGATATCCATATACGCGGTTCCAGTCTGCACATGAGGCGACTAGATGGCGTAGAGTGCGAACTTTGTAGAAGTCATAGATAGGGAATCTGCTAGTAAGTCGTGTGATGCCTTACATTGGATACCGTCTATGCTCATCAATGGATGCACGTTGCCCAGATCTTGATAGTGTTGAGTGGTACTATAATGCTGAATTGAATGATTATTTTCGAATTCGAGGCGATAGCCAGTGGTTATAGGGTCAGATGGTATAAAAATGAGCTCGATGCATAGCTGTAGAATATAAGTGAAGTATCATGATGTCATGAGGTGCAAATGGAGTGGGAGTTCTGAAATCGCTCGTAGGATACAAAAGCATCGAGACCGGCGACTTCACTGCATCGAGCTACAAAGACGGATCTTTTGATCGCTTGGAAGTAGTAGGAAGTCACGCGAGTGTCAGAGTAAGGGGAATATCTCGTCTAGCCTTCCATGCGGTGGGATTCTCCAGTAAAGAAGGATGCCGATTGTTGATAGTCCACCGACGTCAAACCGGCTGGCCCTTGCAGATTATATGATCGACGAAGCTGCCATCGCCAGGAGCTTGGTATACTTTGTATCGAGCCGTCAAACCAAGTGAACCGGCCACCCCTTGGTATGGGATGCCCGGGTTCAAGTAATCTCGAGAAATGCCTACAAATCGTTCATGCGGTCGATGTTAATTGCACTGGCGTCCGAGCGCTCCAGCCCTAAACCGTCCAGCTCCACCAAAACACCGCGGGAAGGGATGACATTCCAACATTTTCAGGTGAGCCATTCCCGCACTCTAAACACTGTTAGGAAGTTCTTGTGAGTGATAATTACGGAAAAAACTACCATATTCCCTCTGTCAGACTGTGAAGTCATGGAGGACAATTTCCAGAACCCGCAAGATGATCTGGCAAGATTCCCACCCGCACCAGTCCCGAGCAAAACCGTCTCGCAGGCTTGAGCCGAACATCAAGAAAGCAGCAATCGATGTGGAGAAGACTCCTGCGGTGGATTCCGCGTTGTTTACCGAGTGGTTCACTTGGCGAGCTCCAAACATTTGATGAAACATACCTACCATATTGGGCCCTCGCCCACACCTGAACAAGCCTCCGGAATGCGACATTCTCTTCCCAGACGCGCTGGAGCATCAACATTGGAATACCAACATGCGAGAATCTCAGCTCCCAGTGTGGGGCTGGGAGAGTTCGATGGGATTCGTGCAGCAAGATAAGAATCGTTGAGCGCCACCGGCATCCTAGCTTTCGAAGCTTTTCTATCGGTCCTTCATCTTTGTTGTCGCCCTCCTCGTCTCGTTTCTAATTTCACTTTCCTTAATATCCGAATCTCTCACCGTTTCATCCCACCATCATGCATCTCACCAGTCTTCTTGCTGCATCCGCCTCGCTCATCGCCCTGAGCTATGCCGCCGACCCGCTTGCTTTCACTGCTTGGCCCAAAGATCTGCAGGCCGGCAAGCCGGTGACTCTGACCTGGGCTGGCGCTGTTCCTGATCAGGTAGATATTCCTCGCTCAAACCAGGGAACATGGAGTTGCTAATGAAAAGGTTCTTAGCCGGTGACTCTGACTCTGCGCAAAGGCAACGCTGGCAACCTGGATGACGTCGAGACCATCACGGACCAGGCCAAGGATGGCACTTTCACCTGGACTCCCGGCGACAATGTGAAAGCTGGCGAGAGCTATGCCTTCCAGGTGACTCAGGGCGGCCAGTCTAACTACTCCGGCCTGCTCAAGGCGGCGGGCAACCCAGCGGCGGCATCAGATTCGACCAAGACTGGTACGGCAGCGACTGCAGCCACCGCTGGCACGACTGCTACCAACTCCCAGACCAACTCCCAGTCCCAGACTCAGTCGACTGGCACGACCAGCAAACCTCTAATCAGTTCCTCCGCCGGAATCACTCCCTCCAGCACCCCGGCCTCGACCACCGTGACCCACTCCGTAACTGCCGAGGTGCCCTTCGCCACAGAGAGTGACCTGGCGGACAAGAAGGCCTCTTCAAGTGGCGGGAACCAGGACGGCGCTGCCTCTCTCTGCTCTTACTCGCGGGGGCTACTCTTGGGGGCTGTCGGTCTGTTGGTATATCTGATCCAGTAAAGTTGGCACCCAGGTGATTGATTATTTGGGGATTGATTTGCAAGTCATTCGTTGAAATCTCTTTTGTTGCACGGGCTGAGCTACCTTCCTGTATATACATCCAATACCCCCTTGATATCATTGATAGGCGGCTTTTGGCCAGGGGCTGCGGAGGTAATCGATATTGGTTTTCTAAGTCTAGGGCCCATTGGTGTATTGGTGTATTGGTGTATTGATGTAATGGTCGACCTGGCCCATTTTCTCATTATGATCTTGCAGACCCTGGGCGCAGGATCCGATTTCCGTGCTGAGTGAACGAACCTCTTAGTGTCCGGCCTTAGTTCGGATTGCGCTTAGTGCAAGTGGCGTTCCTGACGGAAGTCAATAATTAGCGGAGCTGGTGGAACACAAAGACCATGCTCTCCTTTCCTTCAACCTCCCTCAAACATCGACGCACTCATTCTCTGGACTCTCTGGGTTCTTCATCGTGAGGAATTGATTCCCTGGGGATATTTTGGAGTGCGTTTGGACGCGTGCTATTGTTCTCGGGACCCGTTTGACTCCCGGTCCCACGGGGTGCTCCACTTCACTCAGAGCATGTCGTCGCGTTAACGACGACCTCTAATGTTGACCCGGCGATGCTCAGACGCCGAAACAAGACGACCACCTCCCATTTGGCCCAACTGAGATTCGATAGCGGTTTGTTCTCCCTTTCCGATTTTACTTCCCTTCTGCGCGACACCACCCTACTGGCCATCCAACCTTGCGTTTTTTTTTCCGAGCCCACCGCTCCTCTCCGTGCTCTCCGCGACAAAGGACCGGCCGCCATCATGGCGAGCTTAGGCCGGGCCATGCGACGACTGGGATCATCCTGGAAGCTCAGTTCCACCGGTACAGCCAGTACTGACTCGCTCTCTCTTATTTCTACAGAAGCGCCGCAAGTGAACCTCCCACATGTTGACACTCAGCTGAACATGCATCAATACAACGGCTTTTTCGAAGACGGATCCTCGGCCGCAGACGGCCTTAGAGGTGCGTTCTCCTCTTCCCTCTCAGTTCCAATGCTGGTTGCTTATTCGACCCAATGAGTCGCAGATTCCCACAGCTCCCCGTCCCAACCCTTCTACCCTTCCGCGAGCCCCAACTCCAACGAGTCCAATAATGGTGAAGCCCCCACAGAATGGTCAGCAGTTGGCCACGCCGCGACCGGAAAGTCCGGGCGCGTCATTCATAATCTTCAAGAGGAGATTGCTCGCCTGACACGCGAGTGCAGCTTGTATCGGTCCCGGGCAGAAGAAACCCAGCGATCCAATGAGACATACAAAATCCAAGTTCAAAACATGACGGAGCGGCTTCGCAATCTGGAGCAGGTGAACGAGACCAATCTGAACTCAATCGCCCGCAAGGATCGGAAGCTGGACGAGCTCCGGGCGGAGCTTCAGACGGAACGCACAAAGCGCCAACAGGCCGAAGCAGACGCGAACACAACCAACCAGACAATGCGGGACGAACGAGAGAATCACAATCGCGAACAAGCTCGATCTCAAGAGATCGCCAAATACCATGAGACGCAGTACGAAGTGTTGGCAGGTACGACCAAGCGTGACAAAGCAGAGCTTGCCCGCCGCGTCAGGGTGCTGCATACAGAACTGCAGTCGATGGCCGAGGCGCAGAAGACGCAGGATGTCAATACGGACCGACTGATGGTTATTGCGGATCAGAAGAACCGTGAAATGGAGAGCCTGAAGGAGGTGCATGAGAAGCTGATGACTAGCCACGTCGACTACAAGAAAACCAAGGATAATGAGTTGAGGGACACGATCGAGCGGACGCATAACAATAATGCTATGATTGATGCTGCACTTGAGTCTATCAGGGAGACTGAGGCACAAATGAGATGGGCTATAATGCTCCATGAGAATCGAGAGAGGGAGAAGAGAGAGAAGGAGGGAAAGGAAACCGAGAAGGACACATCGGATGCATGATGGCCACGGTATGCCTTCCCTGTATAACACCACCTCTACTCATTCCCTTTACACCTTGCTCCTGTGGTCAAATACATTGCAGATATCAAACTCTGCAATTCTTTCCCGTCGACTTCCCCTCCTTGAACGCCTTTCCCTTGTTTGCACTCGTCAATCTGCCGGCATGTTCATGTTTCCCTGACGACCTCCTTGCATATCCGCTACTTGACATCCGAGTCCTTCCTCTCCACCCGCATCTTTTCTTATTTTCAGCCTTTTTGTGGTGCCCGGCGTTTCGGCAGCACAGATACCCATCATGCTAGAGCTCGCTCGGTTCTGTATGATTCTTTTACTCTAGACTCCCTCTCTCCTGTGCCGCACCCCATATTTGTCTGTACTAGAGCTGATGATATGATGACCCTGCATATGTTTTGCTTTCTATGCTTCTTTGTTCTTAATTGTTCTTTCCCTATATGACTGAATAGACAGGAGCACCATGGTGATCCGCCCCATTATCGTGCAATAACCCGCTTATTTTGTTTGTTCAGCTACCAATGCTTTCATTGTTAATGGCTTGTTCTTCGGGTATGAATTGATAACAAAATTTCTCACATGAGGGCAGGTCATAATCACACTTTGTAAGCGATGACTCCAGGTAAAAAAAAAATGCAAAGCCAGTAATTAAAACAGAAACGCAATCTTTCAATGCCGTGGAAAGATTGCGATATCCAACGCCTATAATGTAGTACTTCTTCAAGGGAAAATCGCCTGCATATGCGCCAGTTCCAACAACTCTGGATCTGAGATCGGGATTCTTCAAGCCAAGTTTGCGGAGAAGCTGGTTCATTATTCCTATTCCTAACTTTTATTTTTACTATCTACCTAGTTAGACCGAAGACGTCATCAGTTGAAGAGCGCCTAGTTAGTCGACGAAGTATGGGATAACTACCAAGTGTTACCCCTAGTGAGTGGGTATGTCCTTATATTGAACCGATGAAAGAATCAATAGCAAACTGGATTGCTTTGTAACTATATGTCCTAGTGACAATGGGCGAATTGAATGCGAAGAGCTTAAATGCACGATGGTAAACGAGAGTCTTTATGTATCCAGCTCTTCTCATCAGTGATGAGTCCGGAACTCTTCGCTGATGAGTTGGGTCACGTGTTGAGTTACCGTAACTCTTCCCTGGGGTGTAATCTCGGTGTTGTTTTTCATATGGCTGTTTCCTACGTCGCGCCAGCCATCTGATCATTAAATGGAGTATAAATTGGCACGGTTAGGCTGAGGCTACTTTTGTCTCCTTTTGGCTCCTGTCGAGAAGGAAGACTGCATAATACGGGCGAGACCCACATATCTCTATGTGCGTCAGGATATTACAGGGATACTCGATTCCCTACATGTTTTGTATGGTATCCCGGGTATACTCGGAATACAGCGCCGTAACACGCTAGACAGCGAGGCAGGGGATATTCAATATTCCCCCGCCTATACACTTAGATAGTTCAGTTAACTAATACATCACTATATTGAGCATCTCGTTCTATTAGATCCTAGCTTTCCTAGCCGATACCGTATCCTACTACATTGACAGTTATAAGCCCGATCCGCACGCGTTAGGATTGAATAGAGATAATCCCTACGTACCTATATAGCGCTTATTAACACGGCAGAGTAGTTGGAACCCCTGAATCGTTAGTATTCGAGTATCGCTAGCGACGTTGTACACCTTCCGGCTACGCCTAGTGTTATAGTCCGAATCTTAACGGAGAGACTATATATTCCCGATTAGGAAATAGAGGCTGTTTAGAAAGGCTTCGGATATAGAAGATTTAAAGGTGATAGACTCGGTCTTACCGCTCGAAGAGAAGCTTTAGTCGGAAACGTAGTAGAGGGTCTAGATAGACTATATTTAGTTAGCAGCTGTTACCGAAGATATCTAGGATTACCTAAATCCGGATATATTAGATAAGGATATTAAGACCTTGCTGCCGGTGTTAGAGGAACCTAATCCTCTAGAAGAATTCTCGTCGCTATCCGACGTATAGATCCGTAAATAGAATATAGAGATCTCGTATATAGAGCAACAAGAGACGCGAAGGTAACGCTTAAAGAAGGTATTAGCTAGAGTAGATACTCTAATCTAGAAGTTAATAGTAATAGAAGCACGCTACTTAGTAGTAGGAATAGATAGACCTAGACTTAGGCTCTAGAAGCTCGCTACTATCTTCCGTCCGGACACATCTAATAGACGCTAGAAGCTCTAACGGGTATAGAGATTAATACTCTACTAATTACTAAAAGATATAGTATAGGATTATATCCTTAGTAAGTAGGAAGCGCTATTTAGAGAGTATAAAGCCGCTAAAGTACCGGACTATATCGATAATTAAGATACTATTCGAGACTTCTTAGATACGCTACTATTATCGGACAATACGTTTATTATATAGCACTTAAGGGACCTTAAAGAGAATAAAGAATTACTTACGTTCTATATAGTTATAGCTATATATCGTACTCGACGACGTACGATCGTATAAGTAAGCACTAGAAAGGGAGGTTTAAAGGTATTATTTACAATATTAAATAATTAGGAAGAAGCCTTACCGATAACGACAACGTCTATATAGAATCGGAATAAGAAGGGACTAGCTAAATGCGTATATAGGAAGGTTTACTAGTATAGTGAATACCCCTTTATTAACCCGGCTATAAGAACTATAGCTTTTCGGCCGAAAAAAGAGGAGGTTAATAAGGTAGAAGCGGAGATATTAAAGCTAAATAACTGTAAGCGAGTAAGGATAGAGTAGCTAAGATCGGAGGTATAAGATACTCCTTAGCTATCTATACTAGCTATATCCTTCTTCTCCGATATACCGTAAGCCGATTATCCTTTATTAAACTATTAGATACTAGACTTAGGAAGCACGTGTTATATATACAACGATCGTGAAGCGTTTATAACGTTTAAGGCAACGAATAAATCTATTAAAACTAGTAATAGTTAAACGGAACTACTTAGAAGAGGAGATATTATTATCTAGACGCTAAATAGAGAAGGGAAGACGCTTAAACTACGTCTAAAAGATATCTAATACTCGCCTAAATTCTACACGAATCTAATATCTTATTTAAAGATTAGGAAGCTTAGATTCCGATAGGATAATAGCAAAGGAGTAATATACTACAAGGGATCTATTCCGATAAGGGTAATACTCGAAGATTATAGTAGGCTATTCGCTCTTACGAAACCGTTATAATAGGATCTCACGATAGTAACGCGCTATAGCGAGAAGCTATTAGTATTAGAAGCGAAAGCTGATATTTAGTATCGATAGTTAGGGTATACTTACTAAGGAAAAGTCGAGAAGCTACCGGAGCTTATCGAGAGTATCAAGATAATACCGGACTCGAAATCTAAAGATAATCCTGAATAATACGAGGTCTATTAGCAAGTAAAGGCAAAGCGTTAAATATCTAGACGACTAAATAGAAAAGTATATAGTAGATTCGGCCGAGTATACTTTAACCTTATCTAAATTATACCTAGTTATAATAGGGATCGCTAGATTATATATTTCTATCTTGATAGTATTCGATTATACGTTATATATACGTATTAGAAGAAGAATGAATACTAGGAAGCTATTAGGAAGTTCTATATACTCGCGAAGATATAATAGAACCTTCCGATAAAGGCCTTTCGATATAATTATAAACGCTCCGTAGGAAGAGTAGTTAAGAAACACCTCGAGGATATAGGATTTGTTATCGAATAGAGTATTGTAGGTATACTAGAATAGAACTCTTTTAGTGAACGCTCTAGGAGGGTAATAACAACTAGTATAAGAGCACTCTTACTTGATACTAAGCTACCGAAGGATCTATAGCTAGAAACAGCTCGTTATATAGCTTATATATTGAATAGATCGCCTACTAAAATACTAGACGGGAAGTGGATTATACTATAGTAGGAAGCTTATACCTAGATTAACTCCGAATTATTGTAGACACGCCTAAACCTTGCGAATTTAAGGCTATATAGATACCGTACGTATATTAAGAGACAGAGTATACCGTATAGTGATAAGATAGTATCGAGAATAGAGACTAGTTATATAGTTAGCTATACCGTATCAAATATCTAGCGTATTTAGATACCGTAAAGAGGACTCGTACGGGACGCGAGAGATATTATATTTAATAAGAAGGTCTTCTATAATAAGAAGCAGGATACCGTTAAGCCTATAGATATATTAGAACGACTTCCTATTTCGGAAATTAATAAAGCTGAAGAGGATAAGGATAAAGTATCAAAGCTAATAGAGATATCTAATATCTAGGAGATATAAACTAAGCAAACTAATTCTAGTTTAACTAATTAGGAGGTAGGATTTAGTTATAGTAAACGCTTATAGTAAATAGGCCGAGAGCGTACGCTAGAAGAGTAGCTTAGATATAACCTTACGGCCTTACTCCTAATACCTTAATCTATTATCTACTATTCTTCTCTATCTCTAAATCCTTTAAATCTATTATAGTAAGCTATAGAAATATTATTAGTATTACTAGAACTACTATAAATAATACTAGGAGTATTTTCCCCGACCGAAAACAAGCTAGAATCGACTAAGAACGATACTAAGCGAGCTCTAAGAGATATCGTAGGAGATATAACCTTAGAAAACGTCGTATAAGGAAGTAGGAAGCGAAGAGTACGCTTCGATAATAATTTTATTAGTTATCTAGCTATCGACGATAATAGCAACGATAGAGATATACCTTAGATACTAGCTATATTCGCTATAGCTCTAAATTATACTCGAATAGATCTACTAAGATACTACCGAGATAAGCTATTACTAGAGCCTCGAGGATAGAAAGAGATAATAAAATATCCGCTTAGAGATAGCTTCTTATAAGCTGTAAATAATAAAATCAAGGTACTAGAAGATAAAGGGACGTACGAGATCGTATAGCGCCCTAGTAATACTAGGAAGTAGATTCTTTCTTTAAAATA